CGTAATCCCTTCTGCCTCACTGCCTAGAGTGACGTTTCCGAAACTGATCAGTGGTGACAGATTTCGCTGAAAATTTTATGATATCATGTCTGGAGTCTAGAGTTCGCGTTACCTATGCAAGAGAATGGTGCTGAGCAAAATTAAAGCATCTCAAGAAGCTATTTGTTTTGGATATGTACATTGAAATAAAGTCGCAATTCATTGCAAAAGAATTGCAATATTTTTACACCATTTTAGGGGCTTTGAGGACAATGCGTATGAGTGCAGATTTGCTATTTGAAAAAATACGTGTAGGTATATGAAGTTTCAAAATTACATGGCGCTTTGTGGCAGAAATAAAGTTCTTACTGGTTATTTGATTCTTAAAAATCAGATTTTAGTACTGAATTTTTCACAGAACACTTTTTAAGACCAGTTCAAATTGAAATCATTAACGGCTTGTTTTTTTCAAAAACTGCACAAAGAGGTTGTTCCAAAAACGCCGATTTTGGCCCCCCTGGATTTTGCCCAAACTTTGCTCAGATGTTGTACTAAGTGTCCTCAATGCTTAGGCAAAATTTCAGCCCCCTCGGATAATTAGGGGGGAGGGGGTAGAGGGGCAAAGTTGCAATTTTTTCAAAACTTTAAAAATCGATATCTCGCGAACGGTTTGAGTGTAAGTGTTGCGGTTTGCGCTAAAAAACATCAAAAAATATTTTCAACAAGAATATTAATGCTGTTTGCAAGGTTGCGTAATTTATCGCGGTCATAAATCGATTTTTTCGATTTTGAAGGTTCGACTTTTTTTCGTTTTTCGTCTCTCCTCTCTTTGGAATCGTTGTTACGTGAATAAAAACCTGTTGAGGTGATTCTCCATGAAATTCTGCATCAACCACACTTTGTTTGATCTTGAGGAAACGATTCGTTCGTGAGTTATAGCGATTTTTCTGCGCGTTACCGGTTACGCGTGGGTGGCTTATCGGCGGCGCTCCATCCCGCGCGGGCAAGGCATAGGTTGTTTCACCGCTAGGGCCTTATATTCATGCTGTAGGCTGTAATTAACGATATTTTCTCCTCCCCCCACCATTCCCCTGCAATAAATATTTGTTTAATACTTCGTTATACAGGGTATCCCAGACCACCCGTAACAGGTCTCTTTCTCGGTTGGTTTAGGTAGTACGAAGTGGGGGGCCGCGGGATTAAATAGGGAATTGACCCCCAAGGAATCCGAATTTCACGGTCCCGAAACCCCCCTAGCCACCCTCGGGGGGTGAAAGGGGGAGGCACAATGTCTCCCGACTTTGGGGATCGTGACCCCCTCTTTACCTCCCAAGGGGGGCATGGGGGGTTTCGGGACCGTGAAATTCGGATTCCTTGGGGGTCAATTCCCTATTTAATCCCGCGGCCCCCCACTTCGTACTACCTAAACCAACCGAGAAAGAGACCTGTTACGGGTGGTCTGGGATACCCTGTATAACGAAGTATTAAACAAATATTTAATGCAGGGGAATGGTGGGGGGAGGAGAAAATATCGTTAATTACAGCCTACAGCATGAATATAAGGCCCTAGCGGTGAAACAACCTATGCCTTGCCCGCGCGGGATGGAGCGCCGCCGATAAGCCACCCACGCGTAACCGGTAACGCGCAGAAAAATCGCTATAACTCACGAACGAATCGTTTCCCCAAAATCAAACAAAGTGTGGTTGATGCAAAATTTCATGGAGAATCACCTCAACAGGTTTTTATTCACGTAGCAACGATTCCAAAGAGAGGAGAGACGAAAAACGAAAAAAAGTCGAACCTTCAAAATCGAAAAAATCGATTTATGACCGCGATAAATTACGCAACCTTGCAAACAGCATTAATATTCTTGTAGAAAATATTTTTTGATGTTTTTTAGCGCAAATCGCAACACTTACACTCAAACCGTTCGTGAGATATCGATTTTTAAAGTTTTGAAAAAATTGCAACTTTGCCCCCCTGCCCCCTCCCCCCTAATTATCCGAGGGGGGCTGAAATTTTGCCCAAGCATTGGGGACACTTAGTACAACATTTGAGCAAAGTTTGGGCCAAATCCATGGGGGGGGGCCATAATCGGCGTTTTTGGAACAACCTCTTATGGGCCCTATCCTCTAAGCCCCTTTTTTAATCAATGAATATCAATTTTGAACAATCATTGAAATGAGTTACGTGTATTAGGAAGATATAGACGAATTGCAATGCCAAGGAAAATTGCGATTCGTTTCGATTTCATCGCAATGAATTTCAATTGGCGAAGCCCCTTCAATTAGTAGATATGCAACATAAACTACACTCCATCGCCGTGGCATTGGTTGTACCATATTTAATCACAATTTGCTGCAACCTGTGCCTGTGTTATTTATAAGCACGAGTATTTGGTATATTGTGTCTGCATGACCGTATTGGTTGTGCTGTTCTTTTTAACTTCGAGGATAATTAATATCCTCTGCCTCGTCAAGAGAGTCTACGATACTTGGCTTAAAAGAAAAAATATGGAGTAAAATAATTTGAAAAGCTGGAGGTAGAAGTCAATTAGGATCATCGAATCTGCATTCATTGCCTTTAGAGCTTCATCAAGTAATGGAGATGTTGCATGTATGAGGAATTTGCGATTTGACCACTGATTCTTATGTAAAAGTTCGCGACAAACACGATGGTGCCACTGGTTTCCCTATCTTGGCTCCCTATCTTCGCATGGAGAATTTGTCTTGATGTAGATGTGGACTCTCCGGATAGCGTGGGATATTCCCTCCATTTTGGCGGCAACTTGAGAGCTTTTTTTGAGCTTGGGAGTTAATCTCAGAGAAAACCAGTGGCATCATCGTGTTTCTCGCGAACTTTTACATTGGAATCAACAGTCAAATCGCAAATTCCTCACACATGCAACATCTCCATTATAGGCATAAATAGTTTTTCTACAAATCATGCTCAGCACATCGCGATATCGAAACTGAAGCACGGAAGATACTCATATTCCACGCCTGTAGCAACTATTCGTGCCTAGGAGATATCTTCGTAGCATAAACGAAGAATTGAAAGCGCCCTGTCATTTAGGATCCCCGCGGTTCAGCTCTCCGTCGGCGTCGCGGCCGCGGGGGAAGCGGTGGGTACCTGGACAGTCGAAACGCCTTCAACTCCGTACGTATGCAACACGGACATCCGTAGAGTTCGAATAGTTGCATCCAGGGGTTTAAATGATGGTCGCATTCGACACTACGGATTCGCTTGCTTCTATCACACCTTACCTTAATTCCAGCGTTGCCGATTGTGCCGATGAGGTAAACTATTACTGATTTTTATCGCGACATTGTCAATTTTCCGAATAATACCTTAGCCGTTTAAATATATGACAAAGTTGCCGTCCTAAAATGTGGGCTGCGGCCGGAGATACGTGGTTCCGCACTTTGGCCATCGATGTTGCGTCAGAGTAGTTAGCGGAGAGGTTCACAATGATGGGAACCCGAACAACGCTACCGTTTTGTGTGGCCTTATCATTGGTCGGTTCTGTTCCGGAACCTCGGAGACAGATCTCATTTATGACTGGAACTGAATGGAGCTATTTGAGCTTCGAAGGTGCGAAAGTTACACAGAAGCTGCTAACCGGGCTTCGTTCGTTAGCGACCGGAAATGGCGAAACACCTTCGCCGGAAGTAAGATAGAGTACACATGCTAGGTTTCTGGCTTAGGGGCTTAAGTGGACCGCGTTAAGCAAAGGAACCAAGCCACACCAGCTATTGCCAAATTACTTAAATTGAGAAATTTGATTTTTTACATGAAAACAATTGTGCGGATTTTTCAGTGAATTCTTTGCATAGTACGAAGCAGATTCTTCAACATTTTCAAAAGACTCTGCACCAAAGTTCTCTTGTAAAAAATTGAATTGACCAGTTAAATGTGGCTTGGTTCCTTTCTGCTGAATACGGCCCAAGTATGCCTGGCAAACCGAACGCAAAAGCTGTTAAAATCCTACAGATTTGGTAACTGTCCTGCAGTGGTCATATCATGTGGCTAACAAAATTTGGAATTTCGATTTTTCGAAAATCGTTTATGTCTGAATCTTTCCTAAAATATCAAAAAATCGTCATCAATTGAATTTTCTTTTTTTTTTTCAGTTGCCAAATGAATTAGTAGGAGTGTAAAGCTTGACGTATTTACAAAAGCCTTTTCTGTGCAAATACGAATAGATTACTATCATCTCATCTTATCAACTCAAAAGTTTTATTACCAATGGGGAAAAGCGCGACCACAAACGATTTTTGGGAGTGCCGAAAGATTGAGGGAGTGTAGGCGAAAATTGAATGCCACCAGTTAGGAAAAAATTCAATCAGTGGCAGAAGTCATTTCATTTCAGGAGCAGGAAAGTAGAAAAGTTTGTTCCAGTTTACGATTTCCACATATTTTAGACAATTGCTGAAAAGATCGTCCTTAAAGAGAAATTTGAAAATTAATTTAACTACACTAAATTAAAGCTGAAAATGAAAGTTTCAAAAGAAGTCCAACTTTTGTAGCTCTCAGCACTCTTTACTTTTGAATCACAACGAAAAAACTTTGGTGCGACATTTGCTACTGCACAAGGAGATGGCTATGCGCCAAATAGATAATCTATTAATTTGAGTTTTCTCATGACTCCCTCAATGCATTTTCGAAATCTTGGCCTTGTTTTGAAGCCGAGACTGTGAGTGCGGCTTGTACAACAACTGTTTTAAAAAAAGTATGAAGGTTCAGGCGCAGCAACCCGACTTCAGTAAGAAATTCCAAGAATTTCACTTAGTTCCCCCTTTTTTTTCTATTTTAGGAGTTGAAAATGTGTGATATTCATAAAAAATTTTGCAGATTAGGTATTCTTTGCCAAATTATTTAAGAAAAATTGTGTAAATTTTTGAAATTATTACCCGAGTACAGTTTTTGAGAAAGAGAAACTGAGCAAAAAAATTTCTTTCTCAAATCAAGTTGAAATACCGAACTTAAAATATTGTTAGGAAAAAATTGAAAGCATTGGTCAATTGATAATCTTCTTGTTTATTAGCAATTGATTCCATTTCCACGTAATAATTGTAAAAATTCAAAACGATCTTGAAATTCAAAAATGGCTACGTACCACATTAACATAAAAACAACAGGAGAAACAATGTACAAGTTTACAGAAATTTCAATAAAATAAAAGATAAATATTGAAACATAAACAGCAAATTTGATACAGAGTAAGTATCTGAGGATATTGGCGGCTTTTAGTACAGTTTATCTATTTGTAGTAAACTTTAATGACATTCCTCCGACTAGATTAAGATTTCAGTTTTAATTCAATTTCAAATTCAAAAGTAAAGGAATTCAAAATTAACTAAAATGTTTTAAATTTAAAAAGAGAAATATAAAATTGTCTAACTTTTTTATGATAGGGTAATGAAATGAAATCATTTTTTGATTGATACTATCAGAAGTCTGCTGAATTTTTCTTTTGCTTATTTGAAAATAAAAAAACAAATAGGGTGAACCAATGGAGGCATATGAATCCCATATAAACACTGTAAAAAGCTCACTTCATAATAATTCTGAAAAACAGGAAAATCAAGAGTTTATGACCTGCATTATCTTTTTTTCCAGGCGCATTTGGCCAATGGACAAGATATGAACTAGAACAAAACAGCACATATTTTTCTTCAAAATCTTACATAAAAAACAATTCACACGGCGGGAAGTTCGAGAATGAACTCCTGAACAAAACCTTAAAACGAAGTTGAACACAGATCAAATAGAACTAGATTATACAAAAGACACAATTTGTATTTTTGCCATTTAACCGAAGTTTATTGTGCCTTGTCATTCATGTTTTATTAAGGAGTAGATTTTGAAAATACCTGTTTTTTATTTCCTGGCTACTTATAGTTCTTGTGAAATTTTGAGGTGACAATATACTGTGTAGTGCTTTAATTCGTACCTGGTCCAGTGGCCAATTATGGAAATCTGTTATTGGATGGAGGGAATCTGGCAACTATATTGAATCATACTTTGTACCTACAGGATATTTGTGACTGTGATTTTAATAATTTATCAATTGTATTAGGAGCAGTATTCAATCTCTGCCAAAAAATGGTTCCTACTGCTAACAGTTGAGATGTGTCTGAAGGTAATAACAGTTTTTTCTGTAGAAGGGATCAAAAACTGGTACCTAGTTATGGATATTATTGAAATGTTTCACAGAAACCTGGAAAATGTATGACATTATTTTACAAGCACTTATAATGAACATAAGCTGTACAAAATATTTCCTCACAAACAACGAAATTCCATGAGTTTCATGAACAACTTCTATATTTGCAGAGGTGAAACAAATTATAAAATATTGAAAAAATCAACAAAAAAGGTAAAATAAGTTTCTGTTTAGAAATGCCGAACTGCCATCAAACATCACATGATCTCTTAAACTTTTTACATTTAATTTTCAAGTGTCTTCTTAGTTTGAATGCCGATTGGTTTTTGGTAACCTTCCCTATTCTCTGTCGTACTCTTATCGTATTCACCTAATCTTATGAGCTATAGCCCCCTGAAGACTTTAACACTCAATCCTGAAGGATTCCATTCCTTCACTTTAGTTTTTGAATTTGTGTTATTACAGCAAAATTTGGAGATTATGATGCTATCTAGGCTTGATAGCATTGTGTGTTTAAGTGTTTATGCCTAAACCTTTCGGTGATAAATATTGAAGAGTTTGGGGAGGCCATAGCTCACAAAGTTTGGAGAATTTCTATCTGAGCATGACAGCTTAGACTCACTTACGAAATTCTTTGATGTTCATTGATATTTTCTACGCCTAAACAATATCTTGAAGCAGATTTTCATACTTCTTTCTTTGATAGTGAGACCTCCGTTTCATGAAGACCTGATAATTTGTCCTGAATCATTATAAAAGTACTTGATAATCCAACTGTCAATGAGTGTAAATAGATATGAGTATACAAAATTTTTGTATCAAATTTTAAAATTATCTCATGAAACGGAGGCAAAATCTAGACGAAAAATACCTGACTTAATCGCTCATCTTCTTTCCCTTCCAAAGTCAGGAAAAGTTATCTTCAGGGTTATATCTGAATTCCTCAACCAAAGGCTGAACTAATATGAAATGAAGGCATTACAGGCTTTTATAATTCTAAACAGCAGTAAGAGACTAAAGATGTATGCGTTCACTAAAGCACTAATTAATCAGGTAGCAAATCCTGCACCACTCTAACCAAATAGTAGAACAGTTAATTTTAAGAGATAAATCAGCAAGGTTACAATGACTCTAAAGACCTCTCTCTTGGCACATGGTTTAAAAAGTAGCAGCTTTGAAAAATGACTTTCTTAGGTTTAACTGCTTTCCTTACAAGTTAATCCTGAGTAAGTAAATACATACTAACTTACTTCTTGCTGAAGGATGTAGTGTTGAGTTTTTCTTGAGTTTGTGGTTTTTGTGATGAGTCTTTTGATCGTAAGTGGGATTTTTAAATGTAATTTATTTCAGTTTTAAAAGTGGTAGGTTTCTATATTTTAATGCAAGTAAACTGGTCTATTTGATTTTAATCCGAGAGCTCTTGAAAAATCTTGGGACCTATTAACAGTAACATTGATGTTTGGGTTCGCACAAGAACTTAAAAATTTAAATTTTTCAAGAAAACTCACTTGCATGTTGTTTACTTCCTTTTATACCGGTCGGACGCGTTTTGGTCTTGCGATGAGCCCAAAACGCATTTGACCAGTATAAAAGGAAATAAACAATGTGCAAGTAAGTTTTCTTAGGAAATTTAAACCTTTTAACGGTGCTTTGATGGCCTCAAGCTCTGCTATTTTTAATAATGGATTTGTTAATCCTGACCTGCTCCCATAACTTTTTACCATGCACCCAACTTCCTTCGAATTGTCAGTCACAAAAGGTGAATAAAATACTCGCTACATTCCACAAATTGTGCAAAAAATCATGATAATTAAGAGATCCATGAGATTTTATACAAGAAATTGATTTTACTAGAGATCAAACAGATAAGATAAGGTATCTCAGGATTTTCCTTCTCCAGTGTGAGGTTTTGAAAATCCCAATTTTAAAATAGAGAGCTTGAAACGTCATCAACTGAGTCATTATTTACTTAGATTCATGCTGGCATTTATATGGTAGTGGGAAAATACCCCTCAAAGCACGCATAAGCCTTAATTTGAGCCCATTTATAAAAATTTTCTTCATGACACAAGATAACATTAACTATCAGCCTTTAAAACATTAAGTATTAAGATAAACAGACTTTTTAGCTGCATGATTCCTGATACCTCATTCAGAGGACTTGATGCTTGAATTGGAAGTTCCGCAAATTTTCCACCATGGTACATGATTCTTGAAAAAGAGAAACACTCCTGTAAAAACTGAAATAATTCTTGGAATGATGATTAACTTAGATTGAATTTCACTGGTTTAGAGATGAAAAGTATGAAGGAAGGATCTCTTAGAACTAAATCTATCCATTTCCATTGATGGAGAATGATATTATTTGCATTTTGGAGCCACAAGAACTAAACAGAATTATTCAGTCTGTTGGTCTTGTACAAGGAGTGTTCATCAGTTTCAAAGAATAATTTTCTACACATCAGCAAAAAAAGACAAAAAATCAACAAATAACAGTTTACCTTCATTCAGGTCATTGAATCTTGAATAACACAAACTTTAACTTCTCATATGCAACATTTATGACGCCCCAACTTATGAAAGCTCTTGTGTAGTTCATGTGCACACCCCTAAAAAAGTAACGCAGTTGCCGACCTCGCTGTTCGTACAACTCCACTCCTGCCCCAGATATAGTTTGAAAAGGTCCACCCAACTTAGACTGCATATGGACTTTAATAGTGTTGAGAGGGTAAACTAATGTGCTGTTAATTGCCCCTATCATTGCACCAATGAAAAAATTCTTTAAAATTGATAAAAACTTTGAATCCTTGAAATCAGGTAAATGCGCTGATGCATAGTCACGGGCTGTGAAGAAAATAAAATTGGTAGGACCATTGCGGAAGAGGATTGGAACTAAACCCCGATAGAGTTCTCTGATCCCATGTTCTGAGTACACAACATGAAAGGCATGACTCATGTTCTTGAAATTTTTGTTGTAAGTGGTGTTCTGGAGTAGGGCTTGAATCCTCTCAAACGGAGCCAGCACAGCTTCAGCGTTGCCTGCTACACCTGAAAAAAATGGGAAATTATTAAGTCCAACTATTATAAATCTGAAAGAACTGCAAATTAGTTGTTAGTTTGTAAGTAGTTGTAGTTGTAGTTGTTGTAATGGAGAATTTACATGCAAAATTTTAAGTGCTTCATCTGAGAGTGCTTAAAGAGCTGATTTCGTAGTATTTTTTATAGTTTTTTTTCTGAAATCGAAAAAAATCTACAAATTGATTTAGAAATGAGAAAATGCACCGCCTTGTGACGTCATCTGGCGGCATTTCCCATTGAATCGCAAGTATTTTAGCAAAGTTAGATATATTTGTCACATCTCCTTCAATAATTGCTCGATTAATGAACCAATGGTATCCTCGTGTTCAGTTCACTCCGTAGTTTCCATTTCAACATGAAATTCTTCAAATTTCAGACACCTTCAAATTTTCCATTTTTAGTTTGTAGTAAGCATGTACAAAAATCTGATGAATATTCTTCAGAAATCATCTTTCTTGCTTGGACACAACGATTTTAACACCATAGCCATGATGCTTACCTCTGCAAAAATAAAAACCCATTATAAATGTACAGGGAAAAACTCATTTAGAGTAAAGTCTTCCTTCTAGAATTATGCTGTTTGGAGCAACACTGATCACAACCAATCAGAAAGGCAATCTGTTTCAGGTCCAATTGGACCCATCACCAATGCAGTGTGGCCTCCTGATGTCCTCCTTTCAAATTCCTCCTTGCATGATCAAGTTGGCACAAGTTATTGCAACAACTCAACTTATAAAAAAATTAAATTATGTGTTGAATAATATAAAACTAGTAGACCTGTTACTAATCCTGTCAAAAAGAAAACTGAAGAGAAGTTTTTAGGCAGTAAGAATAAAATTTATTTTTTCCGACTTTGATGTTCCCTCCTTCTCCTCCCTTATCGACCTAAATTTTTCGCCTACTGAGATTTTACTCCACCGAAATACCCATCAGAAATTAGCATAATACTTACTTGATATTCATAGAATTCTGAAGTTAAAATTCTTGGAAATTTAAACTAAGTCAACCGAGCAGAACCTTGATGAAAATGTAATATTTCTTTCATTAATAAGATAGCACTTTCATTCTAAATTTGTTCTGCTTTTCCAAATGCTTTCAGGAGCAGTATCAGTTGTATGTGATGTAGGTTAACTCACCATGTAGATTTTGGTTGCATTTTATTGAATGCATTTGCAAGTAAATGGTATTGATAATTTTGGGATTAAAAAAATTCATTACTCTGTTATTTTAGAGATCACCATTGGAAAAGCAAAAAAAGTGTTAAAAAAACATTAACTCAAAAATTGACCGTGAACGACCGAGATCAAGTGTCTGGCTTTAAAAATTTCAACAGGAAGATTGAAGAATTTGAGTTACAGTCCTTGGGGTGAAATAAAGTAATTTTAAGACAGTAACTAACCTGCAGCGACAGCATTTGCTATCAGATAATGGAAACCATTGTCCAACATAGGAATGCGCACATTTTCGTACAGTCCAAACATGAGCGCAGAGCTTATTGACTTTTGACAAAGAGGAGGAAGAATGCCTCTGTAGAGGTAGATGAACCCTTCTGAAGATAAATCTCTAATTGCACTTGTTACTCGAGACCCGTGCAGCATCTGGAAAGGAAAAAAGTTGAATTTAAACTTCCAACAAGATAAACAGACTATACTTGAAAAGGAAAGAGGGAAAACTATACATCGATTAAATTTCTTTTTTTCTAGAGATAAGCTGTGACTCTCTGTTGAGCCTTCATTAGGCTTTCAATTTTTAGACCCCGTTAAGCAGAAGGGAACCAAGCCGCATCAGCTATTGCCAAATTTATTCAGGCAATTTAATGTTTTACCCAAAAACGGTAGTGCAGATTTATGTGCGAATTCGGTGAATTTCCTAAGTACATGGCACAAAGCAAATTCTTTAAAATTTTCAAAGGAATCTGCAGAAACGTTCTCTTGTAAAAAATTAAATTACCTGGTTCAATTTGGCAATAGCTGATGTGGCTTGGTTCCTTTCTGTTCAACAGGGCCCATTTTGTCTCAAAAATTTTTTAGCCGTGTAAAGCCTCCGTCAAATTATTTCCACAGAGACTCTTGCAACTAAAAACTTATGCACTGTCTTTGGTACATTGGATATCCTGATCATAACTGAATTAGAGCTCACACATCGTATGTTGAGACAAACGTCAAAGTATTGTTTACGTCACCAGTCACCAGTGGTGCCACCTGACTACATATATTAACCTGTTGAGTGATGCGAATTCAGAACTAATTGGAGATTGACGTTTGTCTCAACATACAATGCGCAAGAAATTTAAAAAAATGTCACTTCTTTTTGCACAATTATAAATAAAAATTACCTCCTTAGGAAAAAACTCTTCTAGTTTTATAATTTTACTTTCACTTGCGTAATTAACGTAGGTGAGCAGAAAAATTGTGGCATGTGAAATGAGCCATTTTTGTGATTGAATACTTTAAAGGAATAATTCTAAGTAATTTAAGTATTTTTCTAATGAAAAATTAAGAATTTTGTCATTCCCATGCAGTAGAGCAAAAGATATAATTAATCTATTAGGAATATAAACCAGTAAAAAACTTAGAAATCTATGCATTTTAACAAGTGGCACAAAAACATCACATTACTTGTGACTGAGCTCACATGCAAGCCTTTCTCGTATGTCACTCAAATCGCAGCGGATTAAACCTTACATGAATGGAGGAGTATGGAACACTAATAACTTTTCGGGAGGACAATGATTGATTCAAAGCAAGAACTAAACAGTTTTTGGCGATTATTCCTGACAAGAGCCAGCATCATTGATTTGATACCTGTCGGAAGATGATTTTGTTGATCGGGAACGTTATAGAAATGTTTATCACAGACGCGCCCCATCCACAGACGAATTCTCGATAGTCACTTATCAACATATTGTTCAGGACAGTTAGGTTGCATTCTACTTGACTGAATTTTGATGGCAGGTTGGGAATGTTGGTTTTCTCGCTAAGCTCGGCTCCATCGTTTTCCTCAGGACAAATCCTTTGCATTCTCTGAGGGCTCCACGTTCTAAATGCAACAAAGTGCTAGGATGCGATTGATATCTAGGAACAGGTAAATGGTTCGAAAATTTTACTTCATTGAAGTAAAAAATCAATAAGAGTGAGTCCTAGTGATAAAGATAACGAGAGGAGATCTCTGGTAATCGTTTGGGTACATGAGCCAAAATCTCCGGAGCTGATGCAAAATTTATACTTATCACTTCATACTATGAGTGTTATTAGACCAGAACCAATCACAGATCGAGGAGAATCGAAATAAAACACAAAATATTTATAGAGTATCGCGAACAAAGGGTCTACGGATTCGAGTGTTTACGTCCAGAAGGCGGGCGGAAAATCTTCGTTTCGCCTAGATTATCCGTCGAGGGAAATTAGAACATATAGAGAGAAACCATTCGATTCGAAAATTAATTCAAGTTCACGGTTTTACACTGGCTTGCATGATGAAATCACAAAATCCCTCTGTTACCTCTTATCACTAACTTCCGTCATCTTCCGTCCGTCAATTCTTTGAGGTTAGAGGACTGTAAACATCGTTGACTTGACAACATGAAACCGCACCAATCACCTCACTCAACCCACGGTAGCGCCAAGTTCAAAGTGACGGCTCGGAGCGGCATGGCAGTGATGGCACCAATAATTTCGTTCATAAATTGAGGACACCGCACCAAGAACAAGCGCTAAACACAAGGGGGGAAAAGTACGTAAATAGATTTTGTTTCATAAGGAAAATAGTGAAAAAGTTAGGAAATTCAAATTGGAAATTGAAGCTTTACGCTATAAAGAACTTCAGATAATTAATACAGTTTACTTAGAAACGGAGTTAAAGAAGGCAAAGTTAAGGAAACTCAGAAAGAACAGGGTATTTTGTAGGAAAGGGTTGGTAGGAATGGACGTATCGATATATTGAACAGCGACTATCGATAGTCTCGAAAAATCCGTGTAAAATACACACTAATACAAAAGCGGGTTTTGAGTGATCTTATGGGAGCGCACTCACACATACAAAAAATCGCTCGATAGCCATGAAAATCTCCATAAGAACACGGCAAAACCTCACTACAATTCGATACATTTGAAGATTTTTCGAGATTTTTTACATTGATCAAACCCGCAGAGTGATAGGAAAGTTATCCCCAGTTGATCACTGGGAGAACAACAGCCTATAGGCGTAGGTCGTTATTACGCCCATCTGCTTTTCGGATTCTACTTACCCTGGACTATGCTGTGGTAGCGATAGAATATAGATAGGTAACGGCTCGAGGTCGAAAAACCTTTTTTTTCCGAGTTAAGTCAGGCCTCTGGATCGATGGGTGCAAAGAACGACCTATAAACGGGCCTATAAACTTAAGGGCCTGAGGTGCTAGTTACCCCTTTCTTTACTCACTATCGATATTCTTTCATTTTGCGTTAATCATGCGTGATTAAAATTATTTTTACTTCATATTGCCACCAAAATTACTGTTGGGCGTAATAATGGCCTATAAACCGGTTTTTTTTTTTAAATTAAATATATTAGAGTGTAAACCCAAAATGTATCGCAAAATCTACACGGCATCCTTCAATAGAAGGGTTAAGGTCACCCAAAAACACCAAAACAGGGTACCTGCATAGAAAAGTCTGCGCAATACATCAAAAATAAAGCTTTAAATACGTTTTTCTCAAAACGCGGTTTCCAGTTATAGGCTAGCTGTTCTTGGGCGGAGTCCTCAATTGAAATAGCCTTCATACACGCTGGCCTTGTCGATTTCCTTTGACAATTTTGCAGTCGTGAATGCATAGCTGAAGTGCGCTCCAGGTAGAATTGTATTTAGCAAATGGGTGGTTTTTATACGAGGATTAAAAATAAACAAGAGGGTACGGAATATAACAAAAGAATATGAAGTATGCCAAACGATAATCCGGGTATCGGAACTTGGCTGTTTTGAAAACGCCTTCAAATGCGGCGTGAATCCTCACGCATTCCGGACAGTTCAAATAGTTGTATCATTGCGCCTTAGAAATGCGACGGAAGATTACAATTGAGGACACCGCACCAAGAACAATGAATTTTTAAACATAATAAAAATTCGAGTTTCCGGTCGAAAAATCCCCTCAGACACCGAATTTCAGAAAAATCCATCGAACAGGAGCCGACATAGCATTTTAGGCCACGTCCGCCATCTTGGATTTGAGAATTTTCAAAAACCGACTAAAAATTCGAGTTTCCCGTCGAAAAGTACCCCTGATCCCGCGGTTCACAAAGCTCTAACGAACAGAAACGGAGGCCAGAATCAGGGCTCATTTTAGGTCACATCCAACATTTGGGAGTTGAGAATTTTAAAAAATTTACTATAAATTCGAGTTTTCCGTTGAAAAATACCGTGCGATACCGCGTTTCACAAAACTCGAACAAACAGAAACCGAGATAGCATTTTAGCCCACGTCCGCCATCTTGAATTTGAGAATTTTAAAAAATGGACTAAAAATTCGAGTTTCCCGTCGAAAAATACCTCCTGACACCGAATTTCAGAAAAATCCATCGAACCGGAGCCGAGATAGCATTTTAAGCCATTTCGGATTTTCGAATTTTGAATTTTTTGAATTTTGACAGATTTTGATTTAAAACGCGTGATCCCCAAAATCGAAGCTCAGATTCGGATTCCTCGTAAAAAATCGATGCGATTTCATGTATCATACCCTGACACCGAATTTCAGGAGAATCCATCGAACAGGAGCCGAGATGGCATTTTAAGCCACGTCAGTCATTTCAGATTTTCGAATTTGGAAAATTTGACTTAAAATGCGTGATACCCCAAATCGAAGTTCAGATTCGGATTCCTCGTTAAAAATTGATATCATTTCATGTATCATAACCGAGCATAGCGTGAAGGAAAGATACGTAACGTAGACATACTGATTCGAGCATATGAATCCAACGTGGCAACATGGGTAGTGCTCAGTGGGTCAGCGGAGGAGGAAGAAGAAGAATTTATCTCGAGGAATTCCTCGGGACGAAACCGAACGCTTTACTTAGCGCCGGCGCGGCGCCTCCCCGTTCGGTTGCATTTCGGGCGACCGGCGCGGCCGGCGCGGCGGCGTAGTTCAACTTCAAAGGGGCAGTATGACGGAATCTATACGCGTCGTTAAACCTTTTTCCTTCACGCTATTTTAACATATGATACATGAAATCTCATCAATTTTTCACGAGGAATCCGAATCTGAGCTTAGATTTTGGATATTACGCGTTCAAATCTATTTAAAATCGTAAGTGAATTTACAGAATTGTCCTTAAAAATTGATCACACATTAGTGTTTTTTTACGTCATTAAACCTCTTTCCTTCCCGCTATTCTAACATATGATGCATAAAATCTCTTCAATTTTTCACGAGGAATCCGAATCTGAGCTTAGATTTTGGATATTACGCGTTTTAATCTATTTAAAATCGTAGGAGAAATTACAGAATTGTCCTTGAAAATTGATCACACATTAGTGATTTTTTACCCCGTTTTTCTTCTACGTTCACGTAATGAAATTAGATCAACAGTTGACTCATCAACTAGTCTAGCCTAACCCCCCAGAATCGGTCTAAAGGGCGAACGATTTTATCAGATAAGATGTGCGGTCCTAGTTTCCGGGCAATTGCGGTTTGATGGAAGTTGCGATGAGGAGAAACGGAAGATATGCGAAACTCGGGCGGATATTAAGTGAGAAACCAGGTGGGGGAAAGGCTTTCTTCCCGAAAAGTTGTGCTCGGGCCAACTTACGTGGTCACTGGAGCATTGTATAGCAGGTTGTGGGAAACTATTTTTTTGCAGCAACAACCAATTGGATTGCATTTTGCAAAAAGGAACTAAGAGCATTTCAATGTTGCTGGGATTGTGCAACTTAGGTACATTCTTTGCAAAAAGTAAACTTTGCGACGGTAATTTTTGTCTTGAATTCATAGTTTATTGGGAGTAGAGGTGAAACTAGTTTAGATGATCGTTTATGTTTGCAAGGTTAGCGACATTGGAATGCTCTTAAGAAAAGCAGTAATCTCCGGGTTCTCCGGACCTGTAGACACCCTGATCTAGAGAGGGCGGGTTCAGCTGGAGAATATCTCTCATCGATAGCCGGAAAAATTAATCGGCAGAAAACATGTTTGAGGTCGATACTCAAATCGTTAAAAAAAGCGCGCCGAAAGCTCTACCTCCAGGAGCAGTGCCGTATCATTTTCCTGATCGGACTCTCCTAAGGTGGTGTGGAAATGAGCTTTTCAAAAGTTGTTTCCCCATTCTTTTTCGAGTTGTGCTTTTATAGTTTCTAGCTGTACACATGAAAAACATAAATAAGTAACGTCAAAACCTGAGAATCTTTTTATTGAACCGTGCAAAACTGAAATTTTCAGATGAGAGCAACACGAAGCTATAGAAGTGTGAATTTTTTTCTTTATATTCAGAGCAGAAATTCAAAATCTTGTAAGTGTTATCAGGTGTTGCTATACCTAATGTTCTAAGTTTCTAATAGACCAAATTTAGAGAAAATTTCCTCATGAAGATGGGGCATTTAGTTTCTTTTACGCTGAGGAGTGGCATGCATATTTTAGCAATAACCTGATGACGCTCGCCAGGTTTTGAATTTCTGCTCGTCATGTATCGATGGCTAAATGCGAAAAAGATGTATCTCAATTTAAGCGTTTTAAAAACCTCCGATTATATGTTTTATTCTCTGCAAGGATTACTAACCAAAATGGTTCATTGAAGTTTTCTATGATTTACTTAGGATACATGATTATAAGTATGTTGGTTGATATTCACTCAAAAAATAAAACATGATAGGAGACTTTTTGTCGCAAACTGAAAAACGCATTTTCCACTTTTCGTCGCAAACTGAAAAACGCATTTTTCGAGTTCAGCTATGAATATGTGACCGTCAAGGGACCCCAAGTAGCAAAGATTGCAATACGTAGTAATTACATAATGTAAATATTGCTATTCAACTGAGCGTTGTGTATGCTGCCTAGCTCCTATTTGAAGGGGCCCCATTTACTGAAACTTTTGCAATATACATATATTCCCTTTACTTAACTTTTCTCTGACATTATGCGTATTTCTTGAAGTTTCAATTTAAATGCATGGGTGCTATTTTATCACTAAAACTAGTGAAATCGCAGTCCGAGACGTATCCGCTCACATGAAGTCTGTATTTTCCAGTTTCAGTCGGTAGTCTTTACTTGTCTAGGAAAGATTTATTCTAATAAATCTTCGGCGCAAGCCCCCTCGGAGGAAGAAAATGGGAAGGACGCAAAGAAATTAACAAAAATTGTGAAAATTGGGCGGAATCGACTCTTACTACTTACACATTTGATGCCCTACAATTTCGACAATTTTTCGGGGAACTCCCCAGACCTTCTTTCCTCCCCCGTGTGATGTGTCCTCCTGATCTACCATGGAAACAAGTGTGAGAGATTATCCTTCAAAATTTTGGCAATACCCCAATTTGTCGAATGATATGGACATTTTTAGTTAATTGCAGGAGTACCGCAACTCAAGTTGGAGTAGTGCCCGCCGCAGAATCTGGGTTAGTAACCTAATTTTTTGGAGTGCTACCACAATTGAGCAGGGGCTTTGCTATTTCAAGATATACATATGTTTGAAGTTCCGAAATTACATGGATCCTTAATGGTGGATAGAAAGTTCAAACTTATTTTTTGATACTTAAAAATTGGAATTCGGGAGCAATTTTTGCACAGGGTGTGTATTAAGGTTAGTTTTACTAGAGATAATTAATATATCTATTTTTTTAAAAAAAAAACACTAATGCGCCTTGTCCTCCAGGCCCTTCGTTTGTACTTACGATGCATTTATCTTGGGCTGTATTCATAGGCGTTCCTAAAACAGCTCCTTTTCATGGGAGGTCCCATATGGTTTACATCGTAATGAAAGGAGGTTTCAGGGCTTGAAAAAATTAATAACTCAATTTTTTCTAAAACTGCACTTATGCGCCTTGTCCTCCATGCACCTCAATTTATTGCACTGGAAAAAAAAAACACATTGGATCTAGAGTCCAGACTCTTGAAAACATCGACAAGAAAAAATACTCTTGATTCAATCAGATTTAAACGTAAATCAAGAACCAAGCCTCTTAATTTGAGCGGATTTCCTTTTGTCTTAAGCTTAAATCTGATTGAATCAAGAGTCCTTTTTCTTGTCAATGTTTTCAAGAGTCTAGACTCTAGATCCAATGTGTTTTTTTTTTCCAGTGTGGGGTACTACGACGATTAATTGGAAATGTTCACATCATCCGACAACGCCATGATCTTTTTTTTCCGTGCATAATAAACTTTTTGGGCTCCTAAAATTTACGGACAAAAATAATCACGAAGGGTTTCCTGAATCATAATTGGACGGAGTTAAACAGAAAGGAACCAAGCCACATCGGGATCGAACCGAGAAAAAGAGGCTTAAAGTTTAGCTCCTGCATAAGACTCAATGTAAAAGATAAACTTCAAGTTCAATTTCTGCAAAATTTGCTCCAACAAAAACTTTGATTTTTTGGCGATAGACAGTAGAGCACTGGTTGAGTTCAAAACCACTCATAACTCAATTTTTTCCAAAATGTGGGTTGGTTCCTTTCTGCTTAACTCAGTCCAATTACAAGTTGTCATTCAAAATATCTGCGGATCCGAAAGGTTTTCGTATCACTCGTTGCGCTGCTTGGCCGGCTTGGCCCTAATGCCCAGTAGCCCATCGCCGTCATTCGGACACGGCCTTTGGGCGCGAAGCAACTGGAGCGTTGCCTGGCGCCCACTCGACAAGAGCACGCACCGGGTTCGTCAGCTACGCCGGGCGCTCGGATTCTGCGTCCTGCCTTCCACCCGCGCGCCGCGCCGCCCGCCCATCGCCGCCGCGCTCCGGGTTGCGTTCTCACTCCGAACGGCGTCTATATAAACTTCCGTCCTTCGATCCCGCGCACCAAGTACCTGACCACCATCCGCGAGACCTTCGCCAACCCGTGCCGAGTTCCCCCCGACGCGCGCGACAACCAGTTCTTCGAGACGCTCCTCCCGGATTCGCCTCCGAACCAGGAGTTTCGCTTTTATTGTCGGACGGTCACCAGTAGGAAAAGTGAAAAGGGTAAAGTTTTGTTACCCCCTAGAAAAATTTCGCTCAAAGCATTTCTTATGTTTTTTCCTTCTTCTTTCTTCTTTTTAAGACATTTTTGAAATCTCGGAAAGATATCCAGAGTGCATTTCACTTCTAAGCCTAGGTTCAACGGGAAAAACAACTCCACTGAAAAAAATAATATGCTGTTTTAGCATTTAGGATGTCAAAAATGTGTCTGGTGATCCAAAGATGCTGCCTTTACTGCCCCCGCAGTTGATTTTACATCCTGTGAATGCAAATTCAACTGCGTGGGCAATCAAGGCAGCATCTTAGGATCACCAGACACATTTTTGACATCCTAGGTGCTAGAACGGCATACCATGTTTTTCAGTGAGTGCTGAGCCCTAACTGTTTAGATCAAATTGAGCTAGCTAATTAGCTAAATAGCTAATACAGCAGTAGTGATGAGACTTTCAGTCTGTGGGGCTGGACCCAAAATTTGTAGGGCTCAGCACTACTGCCATATTAGCTGGCCCCATTTGATCTAAACAGTTAGGGCTAGCACTACGTTGTTTTTTCCGTGTTGCACTCACAACACCCTAGTGATATCAACACGAGGAGCTGAATCTACTGTCTTTGCGGGGTAAACTCCGATCTTACCGAGCGGAACCTACTTTTTTGTGGATTTAACTCTACAACTACGGAAAGGATTTCACTCCTCATTCATATCACTTTGTTTTGTTCAGCGCGGTGTAGTCTCCGAAGTGAAACTCACTCCGAAATTCTCTCCGAAGTTCTCTCCGAAATTCTCTCAGAAGTTCTCTCCGAAATTCTCTCAGAAGTTTCCAACAATGTGGCTACTTATGATTTAAATGAGTTATTTCTTTAGAATAATTCGAGAAGTTTGATTTTCGTTCACATCTTTTTGCTCGCAGAAGAAAGGTTCAAACTTCGTTTTTTCATCGGGTTTACAGTTCTAGTCCAAATGATTTATTTTTTATGGTAGTGAACGTGTTTTAGGAGAGAGAGAACGCTAAGTGATCATTAAACTGTGATGAGGTCCAGTGAGATTAAATAAAAGAAACGCTCCAAATAAAATAACCAAAGAGAACTCGTCGATATGACTAGCAGGAACAACTCCACGGAGTATAAATAAGATTAGAGTCTATTGTAATTAAATTAAACAATTGAAAACAATGAGAAACACAGTAAAAACAATTTCTTTTAGTCAAAATTCCAGAAAATCCTTGATTTGTTTCAAGATAAAAAGGGTTTGAAGATTTCTGCGGAGATAATCTCAGCCGAAGCTGCTAAACTTTTTGTATCGTCAGAGTTTACCGTTCGATTCAACAATGGGCGGTTCTGACGATTCTGACGACAATGATTTTGATATGCATGTTTTCATACAATGTGCACGGTCTACAAGAAGTCAGAATTGTTTTGTAGTTCTCAAATAGTTTCGATGAAATTCGAGAAACAGACTGCAGTCGAAAGACACGCACGGCATGCAAGATTGGTGAGAGCCGTGGTTGCATATTTTTTTCGGAGGTTTTTGAGTTTTTTGGAAGTGAGAAAAAACTGTGGAAATAAATTGTTTCTGATTTCACAAATATCCTTGAAATGGTCGATGCAAAATTTGGACCATGCAGTTGATAAATAATAAAAAAGAACAGCTTTCAGGGAAAGCTTTGAAACGTTACGAATCAATCGAGGCCCACCGGTTCCTATACCCCTTTGTACACGAAACACATACATTAAAACTAAAGTAGACTTGATGTTTTCGATTACACACAGCAATGTCAATGTAGCACCGAGCCTGTGCGAGTTGAGGAATTTTTATTTAGTCACTAAAATGAAAAAACCATGAGTGTACTGGCATAATTCGTGGAATTGCAGTTTTTACTCGAACACAGTGTATAAATCACAAAAAAATAATACAGTGACGGAGGTAGAACTTCCAGCAGCCCACAAAACCGTAATCAATTTTTAGTCTGTGAGACAGGGTTGGAGTTTTAGTTGATATTCCCTATTAGTGATCTTCATATGGCAAAAGTCTCTCATATCTCTCTGATTAACTTTCAGTTTATGCCATCAACAATTTCTTTTTTAATCTTAAAAGTATTTCGGAGCACTAACCGAGGAGGGAAGGAGCTCTTAAATCACCTTCACACTACTTCCTTGTAAAACAGCAATGGAAACATTATTGGTCACGACGCTCTGCATAGATCTTAAAATCATATTTTTCACCTGATATAAACGAAATTTCTTCTTCTACTGCTTCATTTTTCCAATTTTGTTTTGAAACCTAAGACCAAAGCGTGATTTGCATGGCATTTAATAAGCAAACTCGTCCGGTGCTCTTAATTTTCTGTGCGCTTGTAAAGGCGAAGGAGTATTCTTTTCTATTTTTCCATCATACTCTTAAAATTTACCACAAATCACTCTAAAACTCGTTTGCATAAATTTAGTGAAACATACACAAGAGCTTTTCAATTTCAAATGATGTTCAGAAATTCTTTCTTCAAGACAACTTCATCACGAAACAAATGTCAATAAATGCCGAAAGTCGATTTTATGAAACAAACTTTCCCGGAAAAAAACTTACTTGGTTCAACAGGTTGTCTGCATTATTTAGTATCCTCTCCATTCTTGGCCGAATATTCTGAGATACTTCCTTTCTTAACTTTTCTTAAGAGAAGAATATGTGCGTTTGTGGCTTATCAATATGCGCACACAAGAAAAATAATAGGCGAATATAAAACCTTACTGATGACTAACTTGACTGTATTTATTTCATTTGCCGAAGATGCGTATTTTTCATGAAGGTTTGGTTTGAGGGACTCGCTGGGAAAATCTTGTCATGTCATTGTAAAACAAGATATCGACGGTGAAACTACGAAACCACGTATCTCGTTTGCGGTGTTTAAAAATCTACGCTCGCATTTTATTTTTTTGAAGACGACCAAATCAATATCATTCCTTGAAATTTTCACAGAATTTTCTCCGCACAAAGAGGAAAAATCACAGAAATTTTCAATACTAGACGTTAAGTAGTTTTTCATTTAAAAAATAATGTATGACAGGAAGTCTGCGACGTCGCAAACCGAGATACGTGGTTTGGTAGTTTCACCGTCGATATCTTTCCTCGTACATTAAATATCGACCAATAAACATCCTGCATGCGTGTTAAAATAGAGGGCGTTTGGATGAAAGAGCATTGCTTGAAACAAAAAACACCCGCGTTTCTTTATCGAGGCGCGTTATGCAAATTTAGCTCACCATGAATTTTACCGGTCAAAATAGCGGCTAGTATGGTTCTCAGAGACGAAGACAAAAATAACTACCTAATTGCTCTGGTGACAAACTCGAGAATTTTTGTTTTCTAAAATAATAATATGTGATCATCAATCAATACCAGTGGCTTAGTTGAGAGACAAGTTTCATGTTTGCAGCATTTCGACATATTTAACTGTGTTTAATTTTTTAAAGGAAAATTAAACAAGATTTCTCTTTGAAATTTTCGTTGAAAATGTTTTGATAGGTAAAGGAAATTACCATAAGAATAAAAGAAAACTGTAGGCTCATCTCCCCTTAAAAAATCAAACATTAGCAAATATTTGCAACGTTAAAATTGGAGATAGTGCATTATTCGACTTTCGTCTAAGGATGGATAAAGAAATCTAGAAAGTTGGAATTAAGAGCTTCATCCAATACGCTTCGCAACTCAAAGCAACCTATTTATGATACAATTTTCGATATTTAATATTATATGGATATTTTAACCAAATCCGGTGTCTGGTGAACAGAATCTTGTTTCTCTGTGATGAGAAGATTTTTTGGTTTAGGTAAATCATGCAACCCTGGCCCCATAAAATTAATTTTAGTGACCACGAAAAAAGATATTTCAATGCGCATAGAGTACATGGGGTACCTACAAAATTTTCAGACCACCTTCAGAACCACTGAAACAATCGTGCAACCTATCAATGATTTACGATCACCCTGTGAAACTTAACGAACAACGCATATAGCCTCTTTTGCAGAACAAGTTTTTGGACGCTTAATATTTTGCTCTGTTTTTTATTGCGGAGAGGCATGAATATGACTAAGGATAGTATCAAATAAAGCAAATTGTAATGCGTCACCCTCCTAATCAGAGAAACATCAAGAATTTGGGATATGGGATTTACAGCTCATGTTCAAATAGCATCAATTGGACGTATTTCTATCAAACGGAACTATGTGCATCATGACTTGAGCCCTGTTATGCATATATTCTTATGGGTCTCAGGGCTCATGTCTTAATGCACATAGTTCCGTTTGGTAGAAATACGTCCAATTTAAAGAGGAGATTATCCGCGGGGATCGGCAACATGGGTCTGCAGGACCACGAATTATTTAACTGCAGTTAGAACTCCTCCTGCTACACCTTTAATGAATTTATGTACAAAACGGGCCTCTCACCCCTCAGCGGGCCAAAACAAGTCAGGGGAACTTAGATGGTCATTTGGAGGGAGAATAAACAATTAGAGCTTTTTCAAAACCACACACGTGTTTCGTTTCCGATCGGGAGTGGGCCAAGGATTCCGAGATGCACCTTATCAGCGGAGTCTCGTTCACGATTTATGTTATTACCTCCAGAGATCTCCCTTAATTTCCTCCCGGATACTTTTCTTTCCCTTCTGTTTCTTATAGAAATGCCTGCTCCTCCCTGCCTTCTTCTTCTGATATTAATGACGTAAAATCCACATTTTTTCTCGAGTCCAAGAAGGGCAGACTCTGACAACTCACTGTTTACTTCGCAATCTTTAAGAACATGATAACAGTTCTTTCTTATTCTTCCTCTTCATTTTTTCTCTACATTACCTATGGAATGATTATGGGTTCATCATTTCTCCGGCTCTTGCCGATCTACAAATATTTATCGCTCCTGAACTAAACTTCTTCTTCTCCCTCTTCTTCTTATTCTACTACTACTAACGACTAGGGTACGACCAATATGTATCAAGTTTTCTAGCACCGAGCACATATAAATTATCAATTAGTATAAATGATTTGTCAAAAATGAAAACAAATATTAAATCAATTAAACTTGTTTGACCAAATATTCGCTATTCGTAAGGCATAAATGTTGTGAGAAAAAGAAAAAAAAAGTAAAAAAAAAGTAAAAAAAAGTAAAAAAAAGTAAAAAAAAGTATAAAAAAAGTAAAAAAAAGTATTAAAAAGAAAAAAAAAAAAAAAGTACTACAGCTAACAAACAGCAAGACATGATGCATTGACAGGGAAAAACATTAAATCAACATAACCGCGGAGGCACAAAATAAAGTAAATGTGAGTTTTGTCTCCTCCGCACATAAAGGAGGAGGGTCAAAGCCTCTTATTTAACGTGAAAGTATAATGATGGATGGTGAGTTTTAATTTTTTGTCAGGTAAGCGAATTTTGCGAGAGGAAATCGAAGAAAGAAAATTCCTTTCAGTTCCACTAGGGTTTATGCCCACCAAATAAACCGTTGCTCAAAAAATGCGTTGGTAATTCGGTACAACTAGTGGAGTTATTACCATCACCATTTCCTTTAAATCGATAAATTAGTAGTAGGAATCCATCCAATCATAATCTCCCCGTTACCGGCCGAGGAGGTAATAAGATAGGAGTTGTAAATATGTTTACTTCAATTCTCTGATGAAAATTTAATCGATTGCTGGATTTTGCGTTTTTCCATCAGGACTAAACCATGCCCGAGCCCCCGGAAATTTGACGATGAACGCATAAGCGTTTTGAACGGGAAACTGAAGATCGACAAATTTAGTGCGCATTAATTTTCCTCGAGTCCTCCGAGCTCGCCCCGCGGACCTAATCTTTTCCGTTCGTCCTCCGATCGCGGTGAGACCCGAGAGTTCGAGACTCAATCCGTTCGGAAGCAGCGAATCACTTGGCCTCGTCGCTCAACGAAAAACACAACTTCAAAGGAAAAAGGTAAGCTCCCCAAAATAAGAAGAGGGATTTTAAGCAGTGGAAAACTGCTGCAGTCACACGTGTTATCCGCGGGATTGATGAAATGATGCGTAATTTATAGAATGCCCATGATTACACGCGCAAGAATGTCCTTAATACAAGGATGGGTCATTTTCGCTAGTCATGGAATCGCGTTTTGATGGCGTGTGCGTATAGATTAACAATAAATAGTAAGATCAATCCAAACGTCTGGTTCCACCGTCTAATATTAACGGAGATATCGCCCTCTGAAAAACATGGCGTATGACGTCATTCACCGCGCGCGATAGTATATAGCATGGTTCCTTCCAACTTGCATTCATTAATTAATGATTTGCACATTTTTTCTTGGTTGCTCGACTTAAAACACGGATGAAGCAAAGGTATGCACTACCGCGGTAGATGACGTCATGCGTCATGTTATTTGAAAAACGATAACTTCGATAATATTGGACGAGGAAACTTGGTGTTCGGACAGGTCTCATTATTTTTTGATGAACTGAAACCATCAAAATGCGACTCTGTGACTAGCGCAGCTGTCCCATTTGATGCATTTTTATAGTCGTGTGTTATTTTCAACTTAATAATCGAAAACAGTTCTATTACACGGTGAAAGTCATCGGTGGTTCTGCGTGAAACAACGGCTCACGTCCACTATTGAGTGTAGCACACAGATATAAATTTTAGACATTTTCAGCCCAAAATTGCATCTGTTGTGGTCCGAGTTTTGGAAGTCGCCAAATATAATCCTCAAACCCCCATTCAAACAGCGTTTTCTTGTGCTTCTGCTCCTCTTACTCTCGCGAAAAATAATGTAAATCTTCTTTCCCCCAGGAGGCTTAGAATTCATTATTCATAAATATTATTCCTCAGATTTTCTGTCTAAAATTTTATAAATGCATTCATTTTTGAACGGAATTTCTATATTTCATATTGGAATTGATATTTAAATTTGCGAAGCACATTTTGATAGTTCATATCGCTCATAATTCTATAGGAGCCTGGGGAAAAACTCACAAATCTATACTCATTTACTTAATGAGAGAAATAGATTCAGTACGTAAAACATACTCAGAGCTGGAAGAAACATTGGTTTCCAAAACCAATTTCTGAATATATCCTCTGCAGTGTGCTCCACAACTCTGCCTACGCTATGGAGTTTGTTTTAACAGCGCGCGACCAGATCAGCCGAAACGCCTTCAAATCGTTGTATATGCAACAAAGACCACTTTCGAGTACGAATAGTTGTATCAAGGCGCTATAATCATCCGTGTCTCTTCTCGCCTCTTTCTAAGAGGGTAGGGAGTAAAACTGATAAATCTCCAGTGAAATGTGTGTGGTTGGTTTTTTAACCATCTTTTCTTATTGCTTTGAAAGTAAAATACTTATTCCTAACTGAAAGTTACGCTGGAGCTGTGAACAATCACGGGCATTGCTGAAGTTGTGTATAATTTCATATAATGTTTCTCCCTTATGTTTACGTCAATTGTATTAATGTCTTGTAGCATAGTTAAGTGTCCTGTATTTTCTGCTCTGCTTTTTAAATGTTCGTTATTTACATCAGTTTGTGTTACTTTTAGACTGCCTCGCGGAAACATCCCCGCGTAAGAAATGAAGTCGGAAATAATTCCCTATTGTTCCGATCACAAATGGAATTATTCTCTGTTCTGATGAACATAACTAAACTTACTCATAAAATATATTAATTTAAAGGCATAATATTTCATTAAATAGCAAATCGATAAAATCGCTGAATTTAAAAAACACATGTCTCATTTGGAACGTTAAGCAATTATACTCATACTTTAGGTTTTAGAGGGAAATCAAGTAAATATTGTGCACTTAAATGTCGTGTAACTTTTCTTCTTTATCATTCCGGGTTTATATGGTAAAAATAAACCATATTTTAATTATTTTTTTTCAACGAATGTGCAAAATGAAGGACACAAGGGCATTTTACAACCAAGGGACGTGCCTTTAGGGATTTCGTAATCCTTTATTCAATGAATGCATGTAACATGATGCCAATATTCTGTTCACTATGTGTCGATGCATATATTAAGAGCAACCAAAACCACTCACCCGTGTCATGTTTCGCTTAAATATAATAAGAAGAGCATCGCCAATCTAACTTTTTAATGAGTGAGTGCTTTCGAGCGGCAGTTATTGTTTTTAGCATTTTACTTATTCTTTCTCCTTAAAAGTCTGTTACGTCAACGATAAAGTTTTCATTTCGTCATAAAACGATGTTATGCGCCGGCATCAATTCATTGTATCTCGTTGTTTTCGTCACTTTTTTATTAACTTCACGGGAGTTCATAGTTTTCGCCTTTAAAATAATAGCTATTTTTACGCCCTCCTAATCCCCTTGGTGGAATTCATCGAGAGCTCACTTAGGGGGAACTCGAGCGTAACTAAAAATTTCTCTCTTGTGACGTGGAGAACTGGGAAAATAAGGTCAGCTTATGCCGTGATCTCAAGAAGTTCGGCTCTAGGTCGAAAACTTATTTTTGCAAAATTTTTTAGAAAATGTTGTCATTATTTCAGAAAATATTTGAAGCTCAAAATATTTCTTGTCCATGACTTGAGCCTACACGGTAAGAAAAAGTATCCGACATTTTGTGTTAATATGGGAAGTAGAACACAAAGTAACAAAAACGTGCGGTTAGTGTTTTTCGATTAGTTTCTCTTCACGTTACATTGATCAAACCTTTGGGTTTAAAATTTGCAACCTCGCCATAATCAGACGAGAGCCGCCAGGATCGAAACTGAATCGCTTTAATGATTGCACAATGCACTAGCCACTCGCAACTTCAACCTTTGAGTGTCAGTGAGAGAGAAAACAGGTTCATCAGGACACTTTCTTCATCCCCAGATGTTTAAGAATAAGCTAAAGTTTAGGTCAATTGAATAAGTAATTTGCTCGATCAACAAAGTCCCAAAACCTAAAATAATCATAAACATGGACATTTTTAAGTGTGTGATGCTTCGCGTGGTTTAACGTCTAAACATCCCAACTCCCTCATCAACCTTCATCAAAAAGCATATCCGAACACTGAAAAAAAAGTTACGAGCTATAGGCATACCATCCATTCCAAGCTCTGTAGCCGAAAGTTCCAGGTGCTGGAGCCATAGCTCCGACTTCTCCGAATGGCACGCCCCGACTTCTCCGGATGGTACACCCGGAACTTCCTGCCTCTGAGCCTGGAACGCGGATAGTATGTCTATACAGCCCGTAAGTGCTAGCCTCTGCGGCTAGAATTTTTTTCCTTCCAAAAGAAAATACGAACTTCACATCGTTGCAAATTAATTAAGAAACTATGCAGTTCCATAATCCCTCTTGCCGACTCAAAAGGCCGTCAAAATGCATAAATACTTTTAAAAATTATTGCAAATGAATATTTTAACTTAATTAATTCTGCGAGATTCATGCCAGACTTCCCCGCAAACACGCAGGCACATCCTCCTAGGCCATGCGCATGAGTAAAGATCAAAGGAGGAGAAATTTGATATTGTTTTGCCGCAGCTTATTTAATAACCATCAGTCTGATGCCGCAAAATTATCATTGCGCCGTCTATGAAAGAAGCGCGCGCTGGAAAAAACGAAGTATTCTGCAACTATTCCTTTCGCGATGGGATAAAAACTTTCCGATGGTGTGATTCGCAGAAAACGAAATTCTTTTGAAACTTTCATTCAGCTAATCTTTTCTGGTTTCGAAACGAAAAATTAATTTCAAGTTTTCGTCTTTGAAATAGAATAATTTTGGCCTTTGATGTTTCATCGTTCGGAGAAATTGACGGAGTCGATGGGGCAAGAAACAATTACAAAAATGCGTCTTCATTTAAAGCTCGAAATTTAATTTCACTGTTTTTGTTGTTGCACAAGAAAGGTACATTGCCGTGCTGAGGAAGAACGCCGTATGAGTCTTCAGACTTTGCAACATTTCCTGTGATAAATCACGAATTTTCGGGGAAATTTTTACATAGTTCCTCTTGGTTTTTTTAGAGAATTTTGCTCGTGATTTTATCTGAATTGTCTGAAAATTTCATGGGAAATTACTCATAACTTTCCTCTAAAATAAATAGGTTCTGGGAGGAAATTTGCAGACAGTATGAGAATGTCCATAAGGCTTCCTTAGCACGACAGTACAGCAACCAAGTGAACTCTCAAGGTGAAAATCGCCCGAAAATTACGTAAAGCACATCAGAGGTGGAGAGAGAAAGAGAAAGTGAAAGAGAGATTCTACCGTTAAAAATTTCAATTACAATTTTTCGAATCTCCTCAACAAAAATTGCACTCCTGAGGTAAGCCACCCTCCTCAGATGGTCACCAATAGCACATTAAAACAAATATCTGCTTGGTTTTTAAAACTTATTTTTATTAGAATCCATCCCAAATGAGATCTTTGGCTTTCGAGTTGACAAAGGCTCATGAATTATTTGGGTCAGTGCAACACGTGAGATAAGGATCCGTTCTCTAAGTTATATCATCATCCGTTCAATTCACTCGCTGATCAATAATTGAGACGGCGGTGCAGAGGAGACTTAACCGATTGTTCGTTGTAGAGAGGTCATTTGACGGCAGCAAGCTATGACAACAGGCATACAGCAGGACAATGAGAGCAGTGAATATCATTGTCTACTCATAACCTGAATCCACCCTCGTTAAATTTTGATGGAAGCAACTCAACCATGTCGAATGTTTTGTGGTGCAGAGAAAGAACGATTTATCAATTTTTAAAGAAAAGTTTCTATCACAATGTTACATGTTTGAGGAACGGTTATAAGACCACTCCTCGGAGGATCCCAATCTGATGGTAAGGGGGAAATTGCATTCTTGGGTTTTTAATTAACCCTTCCTCTTTCTTGACATGCAACATTTTTTTGAGTGATTTCCCCGACGACTTTAGCAAAATAAGTCTTGTTTGATCGAGACTTTCGGAAAGGGTGGAAGTTCCAACACTCATGAGCCATGACTTCCG